GCAGGACCTTGCAACAACATTTTTTTTTTTTATAAACGCACCAATGCAGGTAAGCTTACCTATTCATCCAAAGAGCGTTTAAACTGGTTTTAAGTCCCATTGAAGTCAGTAGAATTTATTGTATTTTAAAATAAATTGTGTGCTTCCCTGAAATGAGGCAATTATTCCATATATACACAAAGACACTCCTGTAAAGATGCTATGTAATTTTTTATTTTTTTTTGAACTGTGGTGGTAACGCATCTTTAACATCTCATAGACTTAAGTCTCAAGTTTGTTAGTGATCCAAAATATTGCCTTTGGTTTTGCAAAAACAAATGCTGTTTGCTAGTCCAGCCTGTTTACCATCATTTGGTAAAGCATGATGAATTTCCAGTGGTCAGGGTACATTAGGAGAGTCTGCTCAGGTTTTTTTTTTCCCCTTCCTTCCCCCAGTGGGACATCTGTGTTAAGGGACATGTAGCTTAGCACAGCCATCTACTTACGTACATGCTTTCTGTGCACTACTGCCTATGCATGGAGATGGCTGAGTCTATTATTGTATTCAGACGCATAGTACTTTTAACTGAGCACATTCTATCCCAAAGGGTTCTGAATGTGAAAAATGCAACACTTGTATGAGCTAGTGCTAGTTCACATAACAATACATGTGTTGGCCTGGACAAAATGGAGGTCATAGCTTGAAAACCAGGTACAGTACCTTTGGTTTTACAGTAACTTGGTTAACTGTTATGACGGCTAACTAAACTGTGAATCTACCCCTGACCTAACAAGTATGAGGTTCTGTGACAATGTGAGGTTCTGTGCTGTTACCTCTCAGCTCTGTGTTCTTGGGGAACCCTGGCACAGTGTGTAGCCTGTCTGACTCACAATGGACTCAGCCCCCACCCCACCACCCACCTGAGCAAGAACTGATTAGAGGAAGGACTTACAAAAAACAATGAAGATGCAGGGGGAGACGCATCTAAAGCCCTCCAGACAAGTGTGATAAGAGTGAAGCAACTACGCTAGTCGCATTTGCATCAGAGATGAAACCGGATGACAACTCATTTAAATGGGAAATGGGACCGGAAAGTACCTTCATTAGCACTCAGGATGGAGAACAGAGATTCCAAGGCAAGGACCGCACTGAATTCTGGGACCAGAGAAGCAGGGGAGCACTGCATGATGGGGGAATCTCTGCTCCCATCGTAATCAGCCCACGTCTACACACACCCAGCTCAGCATTTATCAGACCAATTCTAGTAATGACTCCTTGATTGGTACCCGAAACACTGAATCTGCCTGTCTGTATTGTGAGCTCCCTCAGAATTATGCCACCCATAGCCAGGAATGACCAGTTTGTGTTATCCAGCATATGAGCCATTGTTTACCCATAAACAAACCTAGTGTTCTCCCTTCAGCCATTGTTAGTTCACTACAAAAACCCCTACCCAAGCTCAAGTTTCTTTCCTGGTGCTTGGATCCAAAAGCTGCACCAGTTCCACTCCTTTTCTGCCTGGAACCCCTTCATCAATCGCGCTGAGGGCTCTGCCTGTCCGCAAGCTCCAACAAACACTTGGGAACCATGACTGGTTCAAGCTTCGCTGAGTGGTGGGACCCCAACACACACACACACACACTCTCTCTCTCTCTCTCTCTCTCTCACCCTGACTTTTGCTGATCAAACTTGAGCTAGACTTACCCAAATACCTAATTAAAACTATGTAATATTGTAATTGTTTTATTGGTCTCTCTTGTATGGCTGTTACTACTGGTGTCATCATAAGTTCATATACCCGGCAATAAATAACTTTTATGGTCAAGCTGGTTGCTATACTCTCTGTCTGAACCTCACTTACTCTTCCTTCCCCTGGACCTCCCCATTTGCTCTGCAGCAACGCTTCTTTTACCTAACACAAAGATCCCTGTAATGCTCAAAATTATGGTGGGGTCTGCTCATCAAGGGAGTTACTACTAGGACCATTGTGACAAGAGATTGGGAAGTGCTGAGTTTTGAGGCGTGTGAGGGTATCAGCTGAAAGTGCAGATACGTCCGAGCAGGCTGGGCCTGACTCTGTTAGTGTGTGTCTAACTGCATTTATTATTGTCCTTCTGAAATAAGGGATGAACTGAGTTCAAAGCACATAAGGGTGTCAGCCTGTCAATGCTGAATAACCCGGCTTGACTCAGATGTGCTCTGTTAACCCACGTGCTTGTGTCTGACTGCATTTTATTGTTGCCCTGATGAACTGAGTTCAAGGCATATGAGGGTGTCAGCCTGTCAGTGCTGAATAACCCAGCCCAGCTCAGGTGTGCCCTGTTAATCTGTGTGTGTATGTGCATATGTGTGTTTGACTGATTCAGTGGTTGGAGGAACCCAGCCCCATTGAACCTGAGTCCTGCAAGATAGGTCAATTGGGGGTGAGGACTTGCACAAGGGAGAGATACAGCTCCATATAGAAACACAAGTAACACAAGCAGCACACTGATATTACTACAGAGACCACAGAAACGTACCCCTAATAAATGAGCACACCCCAAACTGACATGTAAATCTGGTAACAGTGCTATTTGTTTCTCAGTGCTTTAGAGATGCTTCACAAATGTTTAATGCTCCACAGATGTATTCTTCATAAATATAAATAAGTTTTCCTCTGGTGCCAAACTTGTGACCTTTTACCATCTTGTAAACTTTGGCTGGTAATAAAATTTCTGCAAGCTACAGTTATGCTGTCATGGTATTTGTACCATCCCATGGTCTTTAATACATTTGCACAGATATTACTTAACAGAACTGACTAATCAGTTATTTTGTTGATATACAAGATAGACTATGGTTTAGCTCATTTAATTATGTTTTCCCCATAGAACTAACAAATATAAAAGATTATGGGAACTTATTTTGTATTGAGTAAATCATAAATGGATTCAGTACAGAACTGCTGACAAAGTACCATTTTACATAGTCACTTCTCAGAGTAGAATTGTATCTTTAAACCAATGTATTCTATAATGTTTTTATTTGTGGCTTAAATCATAGCTAGTTATTTTACCTCTTAATTTTTATTTTGTAAGCTTAATAAGTTAAGTTTTTGTATTAACTATATACTACAGTGGTTTGCTTTAACTCTATTGGCAGCACTAAAGCAGTCTGGTCACCTGGTATGGAGGCAGTTCAATCATAAAGGCCCCCTCTACAGATGCAGGTAAAGGCACAGTGAGATCTAATGTACAGTCCACACAATCATGCCTCAAGCTATGCCACCTGTGAATGGCAGGAGGTGTGATTGTAGGATCCAGTATAAGATTCTATAACACCTTATTGCCAGTACAGGGGGAGCCCAGGGATCACTATCCCGGGCTCTCCCTGTACCAACAAATAGCAAGCTCCCACAGCTATGAGTTCCACATATTGTAGTCACAATTCAAGTACAAAATGAAACATCTTAAAAGTATACATTTCACAATGCTAATGATCCTCCAATAACATTCACTGTTGAAAATCATTGATAATTTCTAGATGCATCAAAGTTTCTTCAACACACTTGGTAAGTTAGCCTGCCTTGTTCTTCCTTTTCTAACAGCATTTTCCAAAATGTTATCATATTGTAACCATTTTAGTAATTTTAAATTTATAGACACACTAGGTATTTGTAGAACCGTCCTTGAGGGGCTGCATGCTTTTTTGTTGCCTGCCATGGGTATCATCATAATTGTCTCAGATTAGAAGAAATGAGAATTTGCTTATTGGACAAGCTAAATGAGGTTATCAAGAGGTTGTTCTTCCTGAATAGACATAACCCTTTGAAAAGCTGAAGATTTAATTCACCAGAACGGAGTAACTTGGTTTAAGTCCATATGTAAAATGAAAAATGTTTAGTAGTATACCCGTGGTGTCTTTAATCTAGCTTGTAATAGTAACAGTAGCAGCAAAAACAAGATATCTTAGATTTTGGGAAGATTATTAACCAACGAACAGGCCCTCTAGGGATCCTGGGTGTGGGCTCTGGAAGCTAGCCCAGGCTGCCACATCTTCACTGATATTGATACCTTTGCTAGACAGATTAAAGCTACAGATAAGCCTACCCCTGCTAGAATTGCAACCCCATATTTTCAGTTTATACATACCATTAATTGCTAGTTTGGGAAAGGGCATTTAAAAATGTTAGCATCCTTTCAGTTTGGAAGAGTTTTAGTGAAGGGGCATAATTTTTGTCAAAAACAAATTTTCGATGAGTATACAAAAGTTCTCACAGCATTAGTTAGGTGTCATCCCCTGCTTTTCTTTATTTGGGCATTTAGGTAAGAGGCTAATAGGTTCAGACAACACAGGTTCAGGTTCAGACAATACAGTTATGAAATAACTGCAGGGGTCAAAGCCTCTGAGAGCCAATTGAGTTGTTTTTATTACCTTAGATATGTGATATGCACTGATTGAACTTTATTCTCATTTTGTTGGAATTTTTTTTTTAAGAAATAACTCCTGTGATTAATTTTCCAACTCAGTGTTATCATTTTGTTTTTAATAATGTACAGTTGCAAGACTTCTTTTTCATGTCCAGTTAACCAACTTCTATTTCATGCTTGTTAATACTTTACAATAAATTGTATGAAATTTCAATCAATCCTTTGTATTGGTGTCTCTCAGCAGACTAAGGGGTTTTTTAAGGATTTCTGGACTTTTTTTTTAATATTGTTTGTGTTTTAAATAGTGGTGATTCAGGGCTCTATTTCCATGACTTTGGGAGGATCTAGAGCAGTGGTCACCAACCTGCTGGATCGGGGAGCCTCTGACAGTCGATCTCCGTCTGGGAGGGCTCAGCCCACCCAGACTGAAATCGATTGTCAGAGGCTCCACGATCAGGATCGGTGGGTCACACATGGGGAGCAGCAAGATGCATGTGGCTGGGCTGAGCCACGGCCCCTGCCTCTGGGGCCAGGCTGTGGGAGTGGGACAATCCCTCTCTGT